TCGAATCCTTCTCTTGACGTTGAAAACTTCTTTAAATCTTTGCTTGGTTCAAGATCTGTTTGATTTGGGATAAAAATGAGAGAGAGAGAGATACACGAGAGAAAGAGAGAGAGGGAGTGAGAGAGATGCACGGGAAGGAAAAGAAAGGAAAAGGAAATAAAAGAAAAAAAAGAAAAAGAAAAGAAAAGGAAAAGGAAAGGAAAAGGACATGTGTACAATATTTTAAAAGAGTAGTCCAGAAATGCGCCCATACACACTTCTGGTTTAAAATAAATTACTGAGAATAATTTAAATACCTTTGACCTATTTAAACTCACACGTGTCAGAAACATTTATTAATTAAACTGAATTAATAATCCAAATTAGACACACTAATAATCTCAATTACCTTAATTAATCTCAATTAATTCTTCAGGGTGTTACATTATTTAAGTATTTTTAATATTTTATTCTTATTCATATAATTAGATATTTAAATTTAGATCACATGATAAATAAATAGTGAAAAAATTATCACCCAAATAGAAAAATAAAGACAACAGATATAAACTTCTCCCTAGCAGGTTAGCACAATTTGGTGTTTTATTTTTAGTTTTTTTTTTTTTTCAAATATGCTTGTCTTTTTTTATCATTTTGTCTCTCTTACAACGCTTATGAGCCATCTTTGTGTTACATTTGTTTAAAAATAGATAGTTTAATAGATGAGAGGCAAACCCTGCATGGCGTGATCAAAAAAAGACAAGTGCATATACTCATATATCAATATTGTAGATAATCACAAAAATTCACAAATAGTCCATAAGGTTTATGTTTAATCCCACTTTGGTCCTTAACTTTTAAAATTATAGTTAGTCTTTGAGGTTTTATTTTATTTCAATTTATGTCCCTTCGTTAGCTAGGTGTTAAATATTTAACAAAATTTATGAAAAGTAAGGGCCAAAATTAGAAACATCTAAAATTTAAGGGTTAAAATAATACAAAAGACTAAAGTTAATTTCTACAAATAATTTCTAAATTTTAGCTGTTTTTAACTTTAGTCCTTAATTTATATAAATTATGTCAAATATTTAACATCTAGTTAACTTAAAAGACTGAAACTGAAATAAAATAAAATCTCATAGATTTATTGTGAGATGTTTTAAAAGTTAAATACTAAAATAAAGTTAAGAGTAAACCAGATGGACCATTAATAAGATTAAAAAATAAATAAATAAATAAATAAAAGTGCATATGAGCATATTACAACGCCGTCTCAAGTCTCTAGTCTAGCGTCACCTAGCACAAATGTGAACCGAATAGGAACATTCTTATCCTGGATAGTTCGATTCGTAATGCCAAACAGCATATATGCTGAGTCTGAAAGCTAGCTAGGGTTTTGGGTGTGTGTAAAGGAAAAATTCCATTTCGTCACTCACTGCGTATTTCTTCTTCCTCTTCTTCTGCGCCTTCTTTCTTCTTTCTTCTGGTTCTGCATTTTTCTCGAATTGCGGAAAGAGAAGAAATGCTGGACATCAACCTCTTCAGAGAAGAGAAGGGGGGAAACCCCGAGATCATTCGCGAATCCCAACGTCGTCGTTTCGCTAACGTTGATATCGTCGACGAGATCATCAAGCTCGACAAAGAATGGCGTCAACGTACTCTCTCTCTCTCTGTGAATTCTCAATTTTTTCTCTCTCTCTCTCTCTCTTTTTTTTTTTTGCTCTTGTATTTGTATTGATTCGTTTGGTAATGTATATATTAAAGGCCAATTCGAGTTCGAGAATCTTCGGAAGGAGTTCAACAAGATCAACAAGCAAGTTGCTCAGCTCAGAATTGTGGGTTTCTCATTCTCTCTCTCTCTCTCTCTCTCTCTCTCTCTCTCTATTCATTCTTCGGATTCTTCGTTTATTAGTTTGCTTGCATTGCACTTTCTGGAAAACTTTTAGTAGATTGCATTACTTATTCAAGTTTGGGTTTACATTAATTTTGAGTGTCGCTTTGCTTTCGATGCAGCTTTTGTTAAATTGTCTCTGAAAATGGAATTTTGGGTCCAGGGAATAGTTACATCAGCCTGTAATTGAATAGAATCTAGTATTGCGTACAGGATGACGTCATAATTCTCATTTCGTAGTTTCCTTGATTTTGTAGTCAATGGAAAATTTTCATGTTCGGAAACTGGAAAGCATGAGAAGTACATTTATTTTCATGGATAATCAATTGAATTTTTTTTCTGTTTCCAGAAAAGAAGAGAGAAACTTCAAACTTTGAATTGCTTTGAAACCCCCTTTTGGGAGTATCATTTTTGTGGCGTTTTTACTTGATGTGTTTCTTATTAACTTTATTTGTGGTATTAATGTGGAGAATAGTCCGGTGGGGATGCAACTGAGATGATTAAGAACACAGAGGATCACAAGAAATCAATAGCGGAGAAAGAGGTTGAAGTTAAGGAAGCTTTGAAACAGTTGAATTCAATATTGGAAATTATTGGAAACCTTGTTCATGATTCCGTTCCCATTAGTAATGACGAGGTAAATATTTGGCAATTTGGTTTGGCTTGTTGTACTTTTGCTTTTGTAACAAATGGTTCTAACATATCTCTGTAGGCTAATAATGCTGTGATTAGATTGTGGGGTGAGAAACGGCTGGAACCGAAATTAAAGAATCATGTTGAGCTTGTTGAGCTTCTTGGGATTGCCGATACGAAGAAAGGTAAAAAGTGTTGTTCTTTAGTAGTCTTGTATACTGTATTTCTATTTTTCTCTGTCCTCAAATTAACTTGCGTACTGAATGTGATTTGCTTGCCAAATCCAGGTACTGATGTAGCTGGAGGAAGAGGTTTTTATCTGAAAGGAGATGGTGTGCATCTTAATCAAGCTCTGATAAACTTTGGCCTTCAGTTCTTGGAGAAAAGGGAATTTACAGCATTGCATACTCCATTCTTCATGAGGAAAGATATCATGGCAAAGTGTGCTCAATTAGCTCAATTTGATGAAGAGCTTTACAAGGTAAATTTTGAAAGTTGATGGCAAATATTTCAGTTTACGAGTCTGAATAATCTTTTTTCTTTTTTCAATGTTTAATTTTCAATTGGTAATCACCTAAGTTTATTTAGGTCTTTTACCTGTTAAATAATTGAATCCTTCACAAAGATTATTATTCTTTTTGCCGTTAAAGGAAGACGAGTGAATACTTAAATTTCTGTCCACTTTTATATATACTGAGATCCAAGCATTACTCAGGTGTAGTGATTTTCTGATAGGTAACTGGTGAGGGTGATGACAAATATCTGATTGCTACAGCCGAACAGCCACTTTGTGCATATCATTTAGATGATTGGATCCATCCTTCGCAGCTACCCATAAGGTTTGAACATGTTTCTGGAGCTTCACATTAAAAAAATAAGGGATCATACTCGTTTCTCATAAATAAAAGAATTCTCTCCAGATATGCTGGATATTCGTCTTGCTTCCGTAAAGAAGCTGGTTCACATGGTCGAGATACTTTGGGTATATTCCGAGTTCACCAATTTGAGAAAGTGGAGCAATTTTGTCTTACAAGCCCAAATGGTAATGACTCATGGGATATGCACGAGGAAATGATCAAGAATTCTGAGGACTTCTACAAGATGGTATTCTTTATTTCTTCCAATGAATTTGCTTCTTATCTTTACAGTTTTGATCACTTACTGAAAATCTGGTCGACTTATTATTTGCTATTCCATGATCATTCCTTTTCTTAGTAATTTTGGGACAAAAGAGCTAAAACAGAAGGGAAAGGGGGAAAAAAACGAAAACATAGCTATATCCATACATGTGCAATTAATGTCTGAGTGAAACCATCTATTCCTACTTTACATTGAATGAAGTTGACCTGGTATTTGTTACCTACGAAAGGCATAAAGCTATCTGTTTGTTTGTTTAGTACATTAGTATATCAGATAAACAACTAAATTCAATTTTTTCTTTTCTCAATTTCAGCTGAAAATCCCCTATCAGGTGGTTTCTATTGTTTCCGGAGCTCTAAATGATGCTGCTGCGAAGAAGTATGACTTGGAGGGATGGTTTCCTGCATCTCAGACTTACAGAGAGCTGGTATCCTGCTCAAACTGTACCGACTATCAATCGAGAAGATTAGAAATTCGATTTGGGCAGAAAAAGGTAAACCCTCAGCTCATGTTACATTTGTGCCAAGTTATATTTTCCATTGTACATCTTTGGTTTAAAATAAGATGAATGATGATTCCTCTCATCGCCTTACATTGAAATATTCGTGCCATAACAGGCCAATGATCAGACAAAGCAATACGTTCACTTGTTGAACTCTACTCTGACGGCTACAGAGAGGACTTTGTGCTGCATTCTGGAGAATTACCAGAAGGAAGACGGTGTTGAGATACCGGAGGCTTTGCAAGGATATATGGGCGGGAAGACGTTCCTTCCATTCAAAAACAAACCAGCCAGTGAAACCAAAGGGAAGAAATCAAAGGCCTAGTTTAACATTTCATTAGAACTTCATATGAAAAATAGATGACCAGTGAGATTTAGTTATGAAGCACACCCGAAACATATGAAAAAAGAAAGCACTTGTTGCACAACATACGGCGGAAACGAGTTTCAACCACAAATTATTTTTAATGCATTTGTTATCCAACTCTAAACCTTCTTGATTTTGTGATCATTGTTTTGACGTGGTTATGTATAATTTTTGAAACTTCTAATGAATTTATCGTTTTGCAACTTGTTAAAATATCCATATCATCAGCCACTGATGTTAGGCTTGAAACTATAATTTTGTATGATCCATGTCAAGTTGGTGGATCATAACATAGGCAAATAAACATATTTATTAGCTAATACGTTAGGGGGTTCTATGACCCTAATTGTTAGAAGTTTTTTTTTTTTTTTTCCTTTTGGAGATTGTTTTATGAACACAATTTGCTCAGTTCAATTTTTTTCCCCTCTTTTTGTGGTAAATCTCCAGCTTGATGGCTTCTGAACAATCGTCTCTCTTTTTTTTTTTCATTTTCACTCCTGCAGGGCACAAAGTCCCCGTCAGTTCAAACAAGTTGGCCCACAATTCACTTCAATTATGAAACTATTTGAAAAGAAGCCATTCTTCAATTGGGTGTGGGAACTTGGGCTTAGAAAATTGAGCATTAGATTGAAATGAGAAGCCATTAAATTTTTTTTTTTAATTACCTTTCCAAATTTTCCCTAAAGTGCGTAGTAGTTTGAATTTTAACGTCAACAAAGTCGAACACTCAGTAAATGGTGTTGTATTTTCCCTGTTGAATAATCCTAGTCAAAAGGAAGATAGATACAATTGAATCATTGCTCATCTTATTCAATCAAAGCATTAAAAGTTTTATTTTCTTTGATCAATCTTTATGATCGGCAATTATATCATCAAAGTAAAAACATTTCTTAGAATTGGTCGCTTCTCTTTTCATGTTCAAATCTCTGCAATTTTTACCCTTTTTCTGCCTCGTACATAATTGACATTACTCTTTACTACAATGAAAACATAAAACTCCCAACAAATTCTTTGATTAGCTCTAAGATGGTGAGAGCAAGATTACACAGAAATTACCAACTGTATCACGTTACTGCTTAGATTTACATGGGTTAAGATTGGAATATTTTGCTTTAGCTTTTACGTTCTAACACCAGGTTTTTTTTTTTTTTTTTTTTTTGGGTCCCCTCTTCGTACAGATGGTATCTAATATTTTAGAGAATTAAGAAAATTAGAGAACAAAAATAAAAAATAAAAAAATAAGTCGCCAAGTACGTTGCCTCCAAGACATATTTACAACAAACTAGGAGACGTTTGGATTCAGAAAACTTTGTCGTATTGCTCACTTTCACGGGGTTCTGTTTGTGTACGGATATGTTATATTAGAGACGTCTTTTTTTTTTTCTTTCTTTAAAAAAAAAGAATTAATCCTAAAAATGATCCCTGAATTTTGCTGTCAATTCCATTAGTTTTTAACTTTTAAAAGGTTTCAAACTTAACCTTTGGTGTTTCAGTTTATTTGAATTTTAATCCTCTTCATCAGTTGGGTGTTAAAATAGAATAAAATGTGGATGTTATCGATTAACACAATATTATTTTATATTTTTTGAATCGGAATCACGTGCATATTCACATTTTTTTATCAGTTAAATGTTATTTTTAATTGTTAGTATTATGTGTATATTTTGTCTTCTTTTTTAATGCTCAAATGAGACTAAAATTGAAACAAACAAAGATAGGGATCAAGTTTGAGATATTTTTAAAATTAGGATCAAAATGAAATTGAGGATAGAATTTACAGATTATTTATTAACCCTTAAAAATATGCAAAATCTCACAGGCTCATAAGCTCGTGGCAGTTGGATAAACGCAAAAGGGTAGACATGATTGAAAATTTGAAATGTATAGTGATAAAAGAAATTTAAAAAAAAAAAAAAAAAAAACCAATTTAACAGTAGATATCGGTGTGACATTTTGTTTTTTTGCATAGTGTAATTCAAACCACAAATCACTTCTTTCCTTAACCAAGCGATAAGAAACATTTCGTTTTGCTTTTGGGTAAAGAAACACAAGGAAAAAAACAACATACACATCTGGGAATTTATGACAACAAATCAGAACTATTAAAGTTCTCAAAACAATATCTCTCTGAGGGGGAAAAAAAAAAAAAAAACCAACTAAAACAGAAGGTGGAGAGAAAAAATTACATATTTTTCATCATTCAGTATTTCCATGCAATTGATATATAATCTGCAGTTTATGTATATACACCTCCTTTCTAATTAAAAATTTGATCTAATCTACGTTTAGCTTGTAATTCTATAGAAATTTAATACTCTACCTGTTGTGTAATGGGTCTGGACAAGAGGGAACTTCTCTGTTGATTGTTGCAAAAAAGCCTTCATCTCCATTAATGTTATTATTAGAGCTTTCATTATTCCAAACTGGAACCTTCTCTAGATCTTGACCAATAACCTTCTCATTTAACAATAATATTCTAGCTCCCAAAGCTCCATCAAAATTTATAGCTAAAATACTCAGGAGAATCATAAAGAGACTCCTTACTTGATTCCTTGATATCATCATCATAATTTTCTTCTTGTTTCCTTGATGCTTCTTCTTTTTCTTGGTTTGGCTTGCCAAAGAATATGGAGAAACAATAGAGAGCTAAAAACAGAGCTTCTTCTCAAGAGAGAATATGGGAGAAGAGAGGATATGTATAAATGGACAAAGAGTGAACTTGTAGAGAGGTTTGGTAGCTAGGTTTTAAAGAAATTATGGAAAGCAAGGTTGAAATATATATACATACATATATATATATATGTATGGATGTTAATTTCTTGGCTATGCACGTGTGTACATATGTGTGAAGCTGGCAAGATTTGGTATATTTTCTTTGACATAGTAAACAACAAGAGGAAGTGGTGAGACTTTTTTTAACTAATGGGTTTGAGCTTTGTGGGGGTGGTTGAATATCCCACATTTTTAATGCAATGAAACCCTACTCTTTTCTCTTTCTTTTTCCTTTTTTTCCTCAAAAGGAAAAAAAAATATTTTTGACTTGTTTCAAATCTTAGTTGCCAATTAGTTAAATGATAAGACACACTAATTTGTTGTAGAATTTTACAGAGCGTTATGTTGTAATTGTTAGATGTGTATTAAGTTAACTTTTTACACACTTTTTCATTTGATGTGATTTTAATTAGATCTCATGAGAAACATAAAAAGCTTCTTAGTAGTAAGTAAAATGATGGAATTTGATAAAACCCTTATACTATATATAAAAATATTAACTAACTAAAGTTATTTTCTCCTTTTAAAATGAATTTAGATAA